ACCGTGGTCCCATTTCCAGGTGGAAAGAACACATTCCCTATCGCGGGGCGTGCGGCTGTCAGCGGGGAGTCAGCTTCTTGGAAAAGGGTCCCGTCTAGAAGGTAGAATGCAAGTCGGTAAAACCAGGCTAGACCTGACGAGCATTTCAGGATGTCGCTGGATTTTGTTTTTCGACTTGAATTCCTCCATCACCCGTCTCGGTCTCAGAAACTGGAGGGTGGGGGGTGCGGTGACTTGGGGTGGAGGGCGCCTCCGAGGATTTTGTCACTCCAACAAACCAAATGAAGAAAGTTAATTGAATCAACCGTTATATTTAAATAGCTTTTCCCCATTTAAATGCCTCGAAAGTAGTACCATAGGCAAGCAATTTTACCTTTCGTAGAGGTCCGGGTGGCTTAAAAGGAAGATTCGAAATGCTCTTACTAAGATATCCCTCTAAAAAGCACAACTAAAAGTTACATTGCAGGCATCCAACCAAAGTTTTATTTATTTCATCCCCCCCCCCCCCCACAGCTTTGCTAAGGCGATTGGGGTGTAGGTTTTGCCTACCCAAGGAATGCAGAATGAGCCAAGACTCTGTTAAAACGCAATACGTCTTTCGCAATGGAAGGGAAAGATTGCTGACTTTACTAATCTGATCTGGGCTGGTTACGGCCTCAGGTAGGCCAGGCCTTGCGTCTTTGGGTTTCCAACTAACAAGCGGGGAAAGCTTGGGGCATCAAGGCGGCGGACAGGGACACTTTGTCATCAGTGTAAACATGGACATTTTTGAAGGCAGAGACACGCTCCGTAAATCAGTGAATTGTGAAGGAGTTGTCAAAGTTCTTATCATTGTATGGGTTTGGACAGGCACGGTTTTTAAAAAATATATATTTTATTGATTTTTTACAGAGAGGAAGGGAGAGGGAATAGAGAGTTAGGAACATCGAAGAGAGAGAAACATCGATCAGCTGCCTCCCGCACACCCCCTACTGGGGATGTGCCCGCAACCAAGGTACATGCCCTTGACCGGAATCGAACCTGGGACCCTTCAGTCCGCAGGCCGACCCTCCATCCACTGAGCCAAACCAGTCAGGGCTGGACAGGCACGTTTTTATTGAGCTGTAATGAACGCCAGACGATGCAAGTCTCACACTAGAAACCCGGAAACCCACCTCTGGGTGCGTCACCAGGGAGGGCCTGACTGACGGGCATCGTGGCATCGGGCATGGATTCTGGAGTCTAGCTGCCTGGGTTGAACCCCTGCCCTGCCCGTTACTAACCCTGTAATCTTGGGCAGGTTCCTCCGTCTCTCCACACCTCGGTTTGTCCACCTGTAAAGCAGGGATAAAACCAGGGTTGTTTTGGAGAGTTAAGGAGAGTATGTATGTAGAGTGTTCAGCACGATGCTTGACCCGGTCTCAACAAGTAAGTTGTCTTCGTCTGTTCGGGCGGCTATAAAACAACACGCACTTATTGGTCACAGTTCCCCTCCTGCGGGCGCAGACCACTGCTCTCTCCCTGTGTCCTCACAGGGGGGAGGGGTGTGGGGACTCTCCGGGGTTTCTTTGGTAAGGCTGCCACCCTCATGACCTAGCACCTCCCAAAGGCCCAACTCCTAATCCCACCCCATTGGGGGTCAGGATTTCAGCCTCTGAACCTGGGGGACACATGTTCAGTCTGTAGCTAAGTGGTCGTTGTTTCTGTTTGTTTGTCATGGAGTTAATAATTCCTTACTTTTATAAGATCTGAAGACGGCTAAGTGCCTCGCCACCTAAAGGTTGTGTACAACAATCCTCTGGACTTGTCGCCTACTTCCTTTGTGTGCTGTGTCTCAGAGAACTGTTTTATGATTCTTGCACCATGAGGGGCATTTGGTTTCCTGAGGATCTGCTTCTCATAGGAATCGGTTGGTTCGGTTGCAGCAGGAGGCGGTGCGGGCTGCGGTCTTGGGGGCAGATCTGCCCAGGAACACCAGTGTCACTTAAACTTGTTATCCAGCCCGTGAGAGTGGCTCCACCTTTTTCTTCCATCCACCACGAGTAAAATGGTCTACGGATCCTTGTTGCATAAAGAAAATGAGATGTGGCCCTGCTGCTATGGCTCAGTCTGCAGCATAAGTGGTTGTCAATCTATGATCAGGAGGTCACAGTTAGATTCCTGGTTGGGGCACTTGCCCAGGGTTGTGGGTTCCATCCCCAGTGTAAGGCGTGCAGGAGGCAGCTGATCAATGATTCTCTTTCATCATTGATGTTTCTATCTCTCTCTCCCTCTCTCTTCCTCTCTGAAATCAATAAAAATATATAGTTGTTAAAAAATTTTTAAAAAGAAAAGAAAATGAGATGTGTATTTCTGCAAAAAATTTTTAAGGATCCATTGTGTATAACTATGTTGGGAGAGGGTAGTTTAGAACTTTTTATTGAAGTAGAATATACCTATACTCCTATATACCTGGGTGAATTCTCACAGAGTGGAAACATTCACATATGCAGCACCTAGATCCAGAAACAGAACATAGCCGTCATCCCAGAAGCCCCCCTCTCCGGTTCCAGGTTCCCCTCCCAGCCGCTTCACCCCCAAGTGTATACAACCCCTCTCCCCAAGGCTGTTGTCGAGTTCAGCTGTCTTCCCACCTGGATTCTGTGCTGGTGAGCACGCACTGTAACACCAGAGAGGTGAAGCAGCTGTTACCCACCGGGATCCGAGGGAACCTGTGTTCTCGGAGGCAGGGTTCCCGGGGGATTAAAGAGAGAGAAGAGTTTAATGGGGAGCGCAGATCAATGAAAATGGTCACAGTGAAAGCAAGTTCCACGTGTTCTCAAAAGAAACATCCCAGGCTCAGATAATAGAGCTTGTGGTTGCTGATTTGTTCATAGTTCAAGAGAAACATCCGAATCAAAGGCCTTTTGCATTGGCGTGTGGTGGTAACGGAATAGCATCCCCTCCAGGGGGGAAGCATGTTTTGCTGTGGTGTTGAGGACCGTGCTGCTGTTGCATGTGCCGTGTGAGCAAAGGCTTTGTGCTGTGAGAGGCAGCCTCTGTTCCCCTCCTCCCCCCGACAGTCTGTACATTGGTTGGAGGGAGAATTTCAAAAATCACTAGGGCAAGGAGAAGCCTCAGAGGAGGACTTAACTGAGTCTTGACAAATGGGTGGAATTCAGAGAAAGAGGGGAAGCTGGCATTCACGATAGAAGGAGCGGCCTAAGTACCCCCAAGGAAGTGGGGGTGTCCGGTGGACTTCTGAGGACAGCGAGGAGACGGACGGGTGTCCGAGGGCGCGGCTTGCTGAGGCTGGAAAGTGCTCTCCCTGGAAGCTGTCCAGTACAGTGGATACAAACCAGGTGTCAGAGGGCACAGACCTGGATCTGGGTTTGAATTCTGGGTTAGTCACGGACCATGCTGACCCTGGCAAACGGACCTCAGTCAGCCTCAGCAGTCACAGCTTACTCGTGGTATTGTAATGAGAACGAAATGACTGGGGACAACACACTGCGCGCATTCAGCAAAAGCCTCGCACATAACGGGGCCTAAATAAAATTCAGCTGCCATCTTTACCTGCGAGTGTCTGTGTGAACTCCGCACGTACTCTCATGCAGTTTTCAGGAAAACTCTTTTTTTTTTTTTAATGTTTTTAATGAGTTTAGAGAGAGAGGAAGAGGGGGGAGAGAGAGAAACATCAATGTGAGAGTGAAACATTGATCAGTTTCCTTCCCTCTGCACGCTGACTGGCGACCAAACCCACAACCCGGGCACATGCCCTGACCGGGAATTGAACTGGTGACTTTTCAGGGCACAGGACAACGCTCAACCAACTGAGCCACACCAGCTGGGCAGGCAGAGTCGTAACACTACACTTTCCTATTTTTTGCAAGCTCAGGGTCTGTCAAACTTCCTAAAAGCCCAGATGGTAAATATTTTCAGCACATACGATTGTTGGCCCAACTACCCAGGTCTGCCCTGGTAGAAAAAAAAAAAGCAGCCTCAGACAGCCCAATCATGTCTGCATTCCAGTAAACCTTCGCTACAGCTCCAGGCAGCAGGCTGGAGTGGGCAGGCCGTCCTTTGTATGTGCACATGTGTGTTCACATGGAGAAGTCCTCGTGGGGGTAGGTTAGGGGTCCCGTTCAGAGACATTGGTGCGACCGGTCCAGTTAACCAAACCTCTGTTGTAACTGTGTGAGCACCTTTTGTGAGGCTTGTGGAGTGAATGTGGACACTTGTCAATCCCATCATATGTCTGTGTTCAGGTTTGTTTTTGTTTTTTAATATATTTTATTGATTTTTTTACAGAGAGGAAGGGAGAGGGATAGAGAGTTAGAAACATCAATGAGAGAGAAACATCGATCAGCTGCCTCCTGCACACCTCCTACTGGGGATGTGCCCGCAACCAAGGTACATGCTCTTGTCCGGAATCGAACCCGGGACCCTTGAGTCCGCAGGCTGATGCTCCATCCACGGAGCCAAACCGGTTAGGGCCAGGTTTTCAAACATATATACATACATTCAAACATGATCACTTCCATCTGTCCCCACTGTCCTGGGCCCTAGGAGGGAGGGTAGTAGCGAGCGAGGCAGATAAGATCCCTGGCCTCATGGAGTGGATATTGCAGGAGGAGGAGAAATGAGTAGACAACTCTACAAAGATGGTTTCCGCCTGGCCGGCGTGGTTCGGTGGTTGAGCATCAACCTATGAACCAGGAGGTCACTGTTCTATTCTCGTCAGGGCACATGTCAGGTTGCAGGCTCCATGCGGGGCATGTGGGAGGTAGCCGGTCAATGATTCTCTCTCATCATTGATTTTTTTCTCTCTCTCTCCCCCATCCTCTCTGAAATCATAAAAAAAAATATTTTAAAAAAATGATAGTTTCAGACCGCGACAAGGCTTTAGCAGGAGAATGTGATCAGTAATTGGCCAGGGGGTTTGCTGTGGATGAGGTGTCAGTAAGACCTGCCTAAGGAGGTGACGTTGCATCCAGCAAGGGGCACTGCCTAGGGCTACAGAGTGAGCAGCTGTTTTAAAAAGCACCCGAAGAGCTCGGAAGTGATGAAAGGAAAAGTAAGCGACCCCTCTCCTCCGTCTCCTCAGCCCCAGGTCTGCTCCCCTTGAACAGGGTAAAGAAATGAATTTTGATAAAGTCACGCCCTTCAGGGAATGTGGCTGGGCTGTGGCAACCGTCCCTCGCCCGGGGCAACCAGTGTCCCGCCCACCTCAGCTTGGCTGCCCCACCCGCCCAGAGCGAGGTTGTTTCTGACCGGGAACAGCCTTCCTGGGCCGGGGGTCTCCCAGTCGGGTCAGCGGGTGAATGAGCAGCAGCTCTCCCATCTAGCCTGTCAGTGCGGTGTGGGGGGTGGGCTTTCCCCGCTCCCATTTTTCCACTCCTTCAGACGCTTAGATCTGCCAGAAATGAAGTTAGTCAGCGCAGCTCATTCCTAGACCAGGCCTGGTAGTCAGATAAATGTGGGAATTATATTGACCATTTGGTTTCAATCAATAGTTTTGTGCTCTCTGGTTTCATGGAAAAACTCTTAAGAGTTTTAAGAATCTTAAAAAAGTCACTTGGGCAAAGCTCTAAAGAAAGGAATATCCACACACGCATTTTATAAACTGAAGGCGAAGGGTCGGGCTGCTCCTCCTCGCTTCCTCTTTCCCTGCCTGCGTCCTGGCATTGGCAGCAGCTACTTCTCTGCGCCTCTCCTCTCGCTGAACAGATGTGTCTAGTGAGGGATGTGAGGGGCCAGAGACCCCCAACCAGGCGGCACAGGTGTGTGCACCTGACCCCATGGTGACCCCACCCAGGCCTGGCGTTAGATGCCAGGGGAGAAGTGTGAACGGCCCTGCCCATTCCATTTTAAGATGGTTCTCCTTTTACAAAATGCTTCTCTAACATTAGGTTTCTGTTTGAAGCCTTGTGACTGTGGTCCTCCCTCTCTCTTTCTCTTTCTCTTTCTCTTTCTTTTCTTTCTCTCTCTTTCTTTCTTTCTTTCTTTCTTTCTTTCTTTCTTTCTTTCTTTCAATATATTTTTATTGATTTCAGAGAGGAAGGGAGCGGGAGAGATAGAAACATCAATGGTGAGAGAGAATCATTGATCGGCTGCCTCCTGCATGCCTCTCCTGGGGATTGAGCCCACAACATGGGCATGTACCCTTGACCAGAATCGAACCCAGGACCCTTTAGTCTGCAGGCCGATGCTCTACCCACTGAACCAGATAGGCTAGGGCAGTCCTCCCTCTTTCTCTGTTGCCTGGCTCTAGTGTGAGGCCCATCCAGTGATTGGAGGCCTGGCAGAAACTCACCTGCACTTGGGGTTGGACCTAGACAGGTGGCCCCTGTCAGTCGGGGTGGGCTACAGCTGTCTCTCTGTAGTCAGTTACCACTCGGAGTTTCAGGTGGAGCAGTGGTGAGTCCCACAGCCTCCCCCCCCCTCCCAAAAAAAAACCCAAACTCATCCAGGTGGAGCCCATCCTATATAATAAAAGCCTAATATGCTAAGTGTCTGGTTGACCTGTCAGCTGTTCAACCAATCAAAGTGTAATATGCTAATGATATGCTAAGGCCGCTCAACTGATCGCTATGACGTGCACTGACCACCAGGGGGCAGACGCTCCAACCGGTAGGTTAGCTTGCTGCTGGGGTCTGGCCAATTGGGACTGAGCGACGCCCTGGAGGTCCTCCTGGGATCCCTCCCCGGCTGGCCAACCTCCCTCGTCCCTCCCCGGCCCCCATTGTGCACCGGTGTGGTCCCTCAGCCTGGCCTGTGCCCTCTCACAATCCGAGGCCCCTCGGGGGATGTTGGAGAGCTGGTTTCAGCCCCGTCCCACAGGCCAGGCTGAGGGACCCCACTGGTGCACGAATTCATGCACGAATTCATGCACTGGGCCTCTAGTTATGAAAATAAATTCCCAGCAAAATTGAAAATCTGTTGCTGGTGGACAAAAATGTTAGGCCTGGAGACTAATGTTGAGTAAGGGGTGGAGTGGCGAAGTCATGTTTTTATGTGGAAAGAAAGGAGCTGGTATGGGGAGTGAGCACTGTGGGAAGAAGGAGGTTGGCGTTTGTAGTCACTGTGGGCTCCTGGGTGGGTCATTCCTCCCCCTCGAGTCTTTGGTGCTCATCTCAGGCATGAGGACGTTCCAGCTTGGCAGTAGAATGGTGCCATTGAAGCTGGCGGTGCCCTTACGTCTGAGGAAGGCAGTGGGTCTCTGCTCCCTTTGGATAAAAAGCTCTCCTGGTGGCCTCACTGCTGCCAAAGCCGGTGTCTCGCTTGGGACCTGGAGCTCCAAGTACAAGGTGGAGTGACCACCGCTGGGCCCAGGGCTCTCATCCTTGGTTTGGGTGGACTTTCCTTCCCAGCCCCATTCTCCTCCTGCTGCGCGCACTGCTGGTGCGAGTGACCTAGAACGTCCTAGAACGTCCTAGAACTGTGTGAGTGGAGAGTAAGGACAGGTTCTGGGCTGGAGCCGAAAGGTCAGGTCATCGATCTCTCGGTTGTTATAGCCGCCTGGGGTCCTGGGAGCCTCCTCTCTCTCCCTGGCAAAGTGGCAAAGTGGCCGGCCCGGCCACACGGACATTCTCCCCCGTGTGATGTCTTTGTAATTTATCTTTTTTCCCTGTTGCTTTGAAGTGTTGACAACATTGTAGAAATACACAAGGAAGAAAGTGTTCGTTTCCTATAATCTCCCTTCCTCCCTGGGTCATTGTCGTTGGAACTAAGAGATTCTGAGAAACCCAGTAATGTTTGAGAACAAGGGAGAGACTATTGTAGAGTTGAAATCCACAAAAACCTCAAATCTTAATTTTTGTAAGTTGTCAACCTCCATTTACACTTTCACCCTAAGTTCTTTATTTTTGGTCTTAAACTACGGAGGCATGAAATGTCCAAGCACACTGAGAGGGGCGGGGAGGGGGTGGTAAGAATGCCAGAGCATCCTTCACTTCAACTTGCTGCTTATGCACCTGCTGCTCACACCCATTTCCTCCATCAGGCTCACAGCACACGTCCCGGATGAGTCATGATCCCTGATTAATACTGAGGGAGAGGCGCTTCGGAGCAATAACCTGCCCAAGACCATAGCTTCATGAGGGGCAGAGCTGGGCTTGAACCATGGGTCTGGCTCATCCCTTTCCGTTTCTCTGACCCTTTTCCGTCTCCATAACATTTGTCTTGAAATTATAACCGTAGGCCAGCCTTGTAGGTAGTCCTCCATATTCATTGAACAGATATTTTGTTGAGTGATTATGCTGTGCTGAGCTCTCTTCTAGTCCCAGGAATCAACAGCGAACAGAACCCACCACGTCCCTGCGCCCTTGGCGGCTTACTCTCTGGAAGGAGATACTGACCTTACACAGATCACAATGTCTTAGGCGTAAACCCGGGCCCTCCTCGTGTCCTGTAACCACCATGATGGCCTGGGAACCCGTGGGGTTTCCCTTGTGCTTCCTAACTCTGTGTTTACATTTTCAACCTCTGAAGTCTCGGACCGCATTGCACAGGCCAGGGTCCCCGTGTCCAGGGGGCAGCTCTGACCACTCCCATCTAATCTGGTGATTTAGACAGAGACTGGGTGGCCATTTTCCTGAGCAGCAGAGTGGTTGCTGGGTGGGGAAGCACGCATACGATCATGCAGTAGGTGCAGCAGGGGAAGGGGGAAGTGAAAGATGAACACAGAACCAGTGAAGGCTCCAGGCTTCGAAAGACTGATTAAAATGAGGCTTTGGGAACCTCCCCCCGCCAAAAAAAATGCCAAGAGTACACTGAACGTGGAGCGCTCAGAAAGCCGCGCGGGTTTCTGCCAGCCCCTGCTTCCACCCCAGCGGCAAAGCATGGGGTAGGACCGGAATAGAGCCGTGCATGCGTGTTCTTTCAGGCCTTGGGTTGGCCTCTGGCCCCTGGTGTTTGCCTCTTGGCAGAGCCTCCTGCCATTCCCTCCCCACTCTGATGGGAGTCCTGCTTCCTCCACAAGAGGTCAAGGCCCTTGCGGAGTTCAGAGGCAGAGCAATCCTAGAACCTGGGGCTGGGCACGCCTCTTCCGGGAAGGAGAAGCACTTGTCTGCTTTTGGACTCCACATTCTGTCAAAGGACCCGAGAGATCGGTGCCCAGCCAGCCAGCCCCCTTCTGCTGTCACTGTTCCAGCGCCCAGAGGAAGCTTAGAAGAACGAAATCCAAGTACCTGCTTTTCTCGGCCTTTCCCCTGCATGTCTTCCAACAGAGCTGCCAATAAAAGAGGGCCCGCCAGCTCCCCAGCCAAAGGCTCATGCTCGGTGACCGGGGAGGCGGGAAAGAAAGCTGGACACGGGGGTATGAGTGGCGAAGGAATGGTTAAGAAGCATTGATTAAAGCACAGAGCGGGCCCGTGGTAAACAACGGCACATGCTTCGTGACGACCCCACGTGTGGGGGTGCCAGCCAGCCCCAGGATGTCACCCAGCCTGGGCACGAGTCCATCCTGGGCAGGGGCATTGGCCGAAGGGCAGTGTTTTTCATGACCAGGACCTCTGATTGGCTCTCATGCAGGGGTGGTTTCTGAGATTTCTAGTTCTATAATCTACTGTCATTGATTGTCTCTGGGCGTGAAATATCTTCCAGGCTAATGTGGGGTGGGATCTCAGGGATCGTAGAATTAGGACAGTAAGTCAAAAGCACTGTGGTTGCCCGGGTTGGTGGGGCAGTGGGCACCCAGCAGGCAAAGCCTCTGACTCACGTTGTCTAGGAAGGAAGCGATTAGGACACTCTGGCATTTTACAGAGCCCTGGGAATGGCCCCTGGGCTCACTGCTCTGCCCTCCTCAGGAAGGTGTGGGATGAGCACTCTGCAGATGGTTCCAGCAGGTGCCCTGGCCTTCGCTTCATCCCCAGGTGGGATGGAAGCAGGGGAGCTCCCTCTGTGGCGTGTGCGCACACCCGGCCAAGACTGTAGTGAAACAGAAGGACCCAGGGGCCAAGCCAGGAGCTGTGAGAAGCCGCTTCACCTCCCTGGGCCCCAGTCTCCCTGCCTGCAAAATGCGGGTCTGGCTAAGCCAGTGATGGCGAACCTATGACACGTGTGTCAGAGGTGACA